TGCTTCGATCTGGGATAACTCTGAAGGGTCACCCTAGCTTTTGGAATTCTCTGTGGCCTTGACTTAAGCCTCTGTCACAATGCTGCTGAATCAGAAAGAGAATAAATGAGAACAGACATTAATCTGAGTGTCAGCTCATCAAGGATCTTGCAGGTCATGATAAAAACGTTGGCTCTTTATTCTAAGAGGGATGAGAAGTCATCGAAGATTTTGATCACTCTTGCCACTTAACAAAAATATCATCTCAGGGTTTAAGGAAAGGGTAAGAGTGAAATGAGAAGCTCAGTAAGAAGCTATTAAAATAGTCAAGGAAGAGATAATAGTGACTTGAACTAAAGTGGTTCAATAGAAGTGATGAATATTGAGTTGACCAATTTAAATAATATTTCAAAGTCTGTGCCAACAAGATTTTTAGTGCATTGCCTATAAGTTGTGGGGCCAAAAAAAAAAGTAATGGACAATTTTAAGATGGTTGTGTGTGTGTTATTACTAGGCCAGTTTTTAAGGTCAGATTCATACCTGTCTATGTTTGTATGTTTTCTGATCTTCAACCAGAGCAGAGAATGTGATTCCATCATAACTACATAGTTATTGTCTAATACATAGGAAGAGGTGGTGAAACATGAATGCTATGACAGTGTTTTAGTCACCATCCTATCTAATAAAAGAGAAAGATGCAAATTGACCATGGCCCCGAACGCTTCCCATTGGCTAATCAGGGAGATATGCAAATTAACTGCCAACCAAGATGGCGGCCGGCAGCCAGGCACCTGAAGTGAACAGGAGGCTTGCTTGCTCCAGTGACAGAGGAAGTCAAGGTTCCCCGCCTGCTGCTGCCAGCCTCTGAGCTGCAACTCTAAGAAACAATGTTGCAAATATAGAAGGTAAACATTCCCCAGAAACCTGCTTTCAGCCAGCCGGGCTTCAGCCAGCAGGATCGCAACAGTGTTACAATTATAGAACCCAAACAAACCCAGATCCCTGCTTTCAGCAGCGGAGGTCTCATAGCTGGAGCTGAGCCGCAGAGCTAAAACCTGGCTCTCAGCTCCAGTGACAGCCATAGAAGGTAAATAAATCCCAGAAAAAGAAAAAGAAAAAGAAAAAAAGGAGAGGTTGGGAGCCTCAGTTGCCCGCCAGCTTGAAAACAGCCATCATCCCCTCACCCAGACTGGCCAGGCACCCCAGTGGGGATCCCCACCCTGAAGCAACAAGATGGCAGCTAATTTGCATACTGAAGGCAGTGCTTGATGCTGTCTGCGGTCCGGACCTGGATCCGTGACCTGGCGGGCGGCAGGGAGCGCTTGAGGCTGTCAGCGGTCTGGGACCCGGATCCATGTCCTGGCAGGCGGGGGGCAGTGCTTGAGGCTGTCCACGGGACCAAGACACGGATCCGTGACCCTGCCGGGCGGGGGGCAGCACTTGAGACTGTCCGCGGTCCCGGGACCCGGATCTGTGACCCTTTCCCGGCTGGGCGGCAGCTCGCACAGGGGCGGATCAGCGGGGGTTGGGCAGGGCAGGACACCTGGCCTCTGCCCAGCCCCAGTCACTCTGGGCAGGTGAGCAGTGCAGAGAGCCTCTGGACAGGGGAGGCAGGCCAGCGGAGGGCAGCCTGTACTCCCACATGGTGGTGGTGACAACTGTGAGCGCGCCAAGCGGAGCCTGCAGGCTGAGCTGAAGTAGCGCCTGCAGGCCATCAGAGCCCAGGAGTGACTGCGCAAGATCCGCCTCCTGGCCCAGAAGATGCAGGATCGCAGGGACAGCCACCATGGCGGGCCAGACTGATGTCCTCCTGGCTGCACCACGGGGGTTTGTTGATCTGCAAAAGCCAGAGGCCTCCAGTGTGCACATCCCCCTTGGCATGCGAACATCCCCCAGCACACTGTCACCCTCCTGCGCCTGCAACAGTTGCAAACCAAGGCGTGCACAAGTTCCCCCCGCCTCTCCACCGCACTTCCATCAACCCAGCATGCCTAACACCCCCACAGGATGTGCACACATCCCCTCTGATGCGCTCACGTCCTTTGGAGAGTGTCTGGGTGTTCTGGGTGCTGAGAGTGGGCGCCTGTGAGATGACAATGAGAGGGCGGAGTGGTGATGCCCCTGTTCCCACGGAGGCCAGTGCAGCTACGAGATCACCTCTGGGGGGTTAATGCAGGTGCTGAGGCAGGAGCAGGTGCAGACAGACACACCTGGTGGGCGCGGGTGGCCCTTGCTGAGGTGCCTTCGGTCAGTGTTCAAGATCAAGAACCCAGAGGCAGAGAGGAATTCCGTCCTTTCAGTGAAACAGTGGGATAGTCGGGGCGACTGTAGAGAAGGAATGTGCACTTTGGGTGCCAGCACCCATGAGCGAAGGCTGCCCTGACTGAGCCTCGCTTGCTTGGGGCCTAGCGCACTCCTGCCGAGCAGCGGGTAACAGGACATGCTTTTTTGAATTAATGAGAGAAAACGTTGTTTCTCCTGCTGCCCACGAAGGTGGAAAGTGAAGTGGGGAGACATGTGGGGAGTGAGCGAAGTTCCCTGTCTGGGGGTTCCAAATCTGCTGTTGGTTTCTTCCACCGCTGACTAGAGATATACAGGGTGTCCCCCAAAATGTATACACACTTTGAATACCTACTAATTCCAATGGTTTTAAGCATAAGAAAGGAACAACAATGGAGCTGTTATCTGTTAAAAGTGTGGGCACAAACAGGTAGTTGGACATTCCCTGAGGGGTCTCAGATTGGAGAGGGTGAAGGCCAGACTGAGGGGCCCCTTTCCTCCCCCCCCCACCCCAGTGCACGAATTTCGTGCACCGGGCTACTAGTGTTTTATAACCACCCAGAAGGACTATAAAAAGGAGTTGATCAAGTAGGAACCTTCAAGGCAGTTTTCTGACTCAAACTTTTGAGAGCTGTATATTCCCAGAAGCACACTTAGTATCCCTTTGCATTACCTACTGTGACATCAACACAAAATGTATAGGAGATGGTATCAATGTTACAGGACTTCTATGACTCATTCTGTTGCTTTGATCTGATAGAGTCAGCCTATGGCAATGGCGGCAGCAGCAGCAGCAGAAAGTAGGTAAACTGGGTCACTCAGAAGATCAGGTTTATAGTGAACCTGCACAGACCATAAGGAGCCTGAGCCGCATAGTGGCAGTGGGTATCAAGAAAGCACCAGAAAGGAGAGGGGAGGCAAAGGAGAAGAAAAGAAAAGTGCTTTTTTATTAGCCACATTCAAGTCAGCTTTACTCGGCTTCCCATTACTGATATGGGTAATGAGAATGCCCCAAATACACGTGTATGTCTGCAGACTCATGAGAAATATGGCTCTTAGTAAGAAATGACAACATCAGGAAATGGGAAAATGAGAGTTATCTAGCTGTGGCTTAAAAACAGAAAAAAGGTATCACAAAAGAGGCTAGAGATAAGTCTCCTTTCGGTCAGAGCGTGCTAACCAGTTATTTCCAGCTACTCTGCTAAGGCAGAGAGTGGACTAGGGAATGGGGAAATAGAAATTTAGCATGATTTCAGGTTGAGTAGAGTTGCTCATATTTCTTGAATTGGTAAGTAACCTACAGTCTCTTCAAGTTGAGTGTGTGTGTGTGTGTGTGTGTGTGTGTACAGGTGTTTGGAAACAACTACTACATAAGAATGTCAAATCAGCAAAACTGTATCCGAAATTATGAACCTAGAATACCTTGGGGGTGAAGGGGAGGACTTTATCCATAAAAGAATATCTGGAAAAAATCATGATAATTAAAAATAATCAGAAATCTGCTTTTCTGTAGTTTTTTCCAAGTCAAATATAGTTAAAAATTGGAATTTTATCATTTTGATATAGATTAGAACTTGGCAGATGCAGTATGTCATCTGTCTTTGATGGATTTTATTGTAGGAGGTAAAGTGAGTCACTTCATCTTTCTAAAGCTGATTTCATTTGAGTAATCAAATTTTATAATTATTTCAGGAAAATATTCAGCAACTTATTTCACTATTTCTGATATAGTGAATGCAAATTAACAATGAAAGCTGTTGCTTTTCTTGTACATCCTCCTCACACATTTATAAAATGGTTATAACCTGAGAGAAATGCTAATTATATTGGTGTTAATGCAGAACAACATAGAAAGAGAGAAATATATGCTGGAAAGAAGTACCTTATAAATAAAAAAGAAAAGATCAGAATTCACACAAAATCCTTGAAGTAGGTTCACATCACATTCTTTTATAATGATAAAACTAAAAAAACCATAATCTTTAATAATTAATTCAACAGCCAGACAATAGCATTTATTCTTTTATAGAAATAAAATATAGTATATATAGGAATCCATGGGAGCTAAATTTTGAAAGAGTCCCACTTTCCTGGGCAAAATCATTTTGTATAAATATCACTTGATAAATAAAATTCCATAAATCTCCACAACATTTTAGATAACTACTGTCCAGGTTCTTTCCACATCACTCTCTAGATATGTGCTGTCCAATATGTGGCTATTAAAATTTATTAAAATAAATGTCAAACTTCAGATCCATAGTCACATAGCTATATTTTGATTGTTTATTATGGCTAGTGGCTTCCATATTGGACAGCATAGCATTAGCACATTTCTATCACTGGCAAGATTTTTATTGACTACACTGCTCAAGATTATTAAAAGTAGTGACTTTTCCATCTCAACCTCATTTTTCCAAATAAATCAGTTGGGCAGGAGGCCCTTTTATACCTTCTTCAATCTATATTAACCAGAATTTTAAATTTTATAGATAGAGCAAATTTTGACAGAATTATAGTACAAAGAGTGCTCATTCTTAGCATGTGTCTTATGACAAAAACAATAACAAAAAATATAGTCTTCAAAAGTTAAAAATATAACTGCTACATGGCTCAGCTATTCCACTTCTGGGTATTTATCTAAAGAAATCCAAACACTAATTTGAAAATATATATGCATCCCTATGTTCATTGAAGTTTTATTATAGGCAAGACTTGGAAGCAACCTAAGTGTCCATCAATAGACAGCTGAATAAAGAAGATGTTGCAATCCAGTGGTGAGCTGAAACTAAACCCCAGCTTAGGAAACAGGGTTATTCTTTATGTGGATGCCTCTGTGCCAAAAGCATGGGAACAACCAGGGGGAAGGAAGGAAGGAAGGAAGGAAGGAAGGAAGGAAGTAAGGAAGGAAGGAAGGAAGGAAGGAAGGAAGGAAGGAAGGAGAGAGAGAGAGAGAGAGAGAGAGAGAGAGAGAGAGAGAGAGAGAGAGAGAGAGAGAGAAAGGAAGGAAGGAAGGAAGGAAGGAAGGAAGGAAGGAAGGAAGGAAGGAAAAAAGAAAGAAAGAAAGAAAGAAAGAAAGAAAGAAAGAAAGAAAGAAAGAAAGAAAGAAAGAAAGAAAGAAAGAAAGAAAGAAAGAAAAAGAAAGAAAGCGGGGAAGAAAGAAAGAAAGAGGGAAAGAAAGACAGGAGAAAGAGAGGTGTGGTACATATATACAATGGAATACTACTTGGCCATAAAAAGAATGAAGTTTTAACCATTTGTGATATGGATGGACCTAGAGAGTATTATTCTAAGTGAAATAAGTCAGATAGGGAAAGACAACTACCACATGAATTCACTTATATGTGGAATCTAAAGAACAAATAAATGAACAAAAAAAAACCCCCACAAACTCATAGATACAGAGAAAAAACTGGTGGTTGCCAGAGGGGAGAGAGTTTAAGAAGATGGGTGAAAAACATGAAAGGATTGAGAAGTACGAACTGTCAGTTATTAAAATATTCATGGGGATGTAAAATGCAGCACAGTGAATATAGTCAATAACATTGTAATAACTATGTAGTGTCAGCGGGGTACTAGGCTTAATTGGGTGATCACTTCATGAGGCACCTAAATGTCTACTCACTATATTATACATCTGAAACTAACATAAGATTATACGTCAACTGCAACTGAGAGATACATTTTTAAAAATGACATAGTAAAAAAAAAAGAAAGAAACACTGGCATACAATATTAACCGAAAAAAAAAAAACATTTGGCATGTTCACTGTGTTAAGTTTTCAGGGCCTGGAGATTTTGGGTGTCCTTTACAATCAAAGATCTACTGAGATGCATGGTAGTTAATACAATTTATGTTACATCTCTAAGAAATCAAGAAACTAAAGGAATTATTCAGCTCTCAGGTGGTTAGTGCCATGGGAAGGGTACACATACTGAGAGCTCAGAAAAATGCAGCATAAGCTTAGGTCAGGGCAACTGATTGGCAATTGGCAAGAAGATTTCTAGCTGCAAAGTTCTTCCCAGGTCACTTTATTTGCACTGAGGCTACTATGCAATTTTTTCAGAAAGTCTGTCAATTAAATTGTAAGCACAAGGCGTGTTGTAGAAACTGAACTCGAGAGCATGTTATGTGGCACAGGTGACATAGAAAACAGACTGCGTGTGCATGTGTTCCTCTGCTTTCCTTTCTCATCCTCCTAACTAGTGGTTAATGGATGGGATGACATGCGGTGTATAGAATGTGAGCACTGAGTCTATCATGACAACATTAGGATAATAAAAATTGAATCTGCACCTCCACCAACCAAAGAAGGGTGTTGAATTGGGGAAACAACATAATAATTTAGAGGTAATTGAAGAGAGTCTTTGGGATATATTTTAAAGTTAGATTGCTATTTGAGAATATACCAGAGAAATTACCTAAATGTGATAAGGTGAATTAGGTCTGTAGTTTCATAGTCTTTTCTCATCATGGCTGAGGCAGATTTTTTTAATTTGAATTTTATTCCTTAGGATTAATGTAACAATAATCTTAGAGTTTTCAGGAATAACCTGAATGCCTCCTTCACAACTGAAAGAGTGTTTTGCTCTATATTTTCAGAATATATTGCTCATGTGAAGATGAATATTCCTGAGATGCACGTGTGTAACTGATATAATGTATCTTTAATTTATCTAACATCATTCCCCTTCTCTATAAATTAAGTCTCTGGTTTCCAGATTTCCATTGTCTTCTTGACGTCAACCAGGTTCCTCTAGGTTTCAGAGTAGCATATCCAGCTTGGGTTTACATTTTAATTCAGGTGTCACTTGTTTTGAACCTATTTATTTCTCTTCTGTATATCACATCTGATATTCACTTGTATATTATAATTGTGTTGAGTAAAAAGAAATGTAATACTTAAATCATATTAATATGTTAATTATTTAGAATGAATATCCCATTCTTCAAGGGAAAAAACATTGAGTAAGATGGATCAATAGACACCAGGTCTACTGATGTTAAAGATGGATAACTGGAGTTAATGAATTTACTCAGGAGAGTTGCCCTTATATTCTACATATATATTTTCTAAACAATGCCCCAAAGTCTATATTATATCACTCTCTAGGATTCTTCCTTTTTTGACGATGAAGTCTGAAGAATGGCTTCATGGTATAAGAAGAGCAATTTATACTATACCCATCTTTTTTTTTTTGTCATAATAGAACTTGACAGTGTCATATCTTGGGATCAAGGTTTGCTAAAAGGAAGCTGGATGTAGTTTCTTTTTCCCTCCAAGAACTACAAATAAATGTGTTTTTTTCTACCATGAGAGCTTGGGTATAGTCAGTATTTAGTTTCTTCCCAATGAGTGGTTTATGGAAAAAGGATAAATAAGATGTTTTGACAAAGGATATTAATCCTTCATTGATTTCTTTACCCAGTTCAGAATAAGCTAAAGGATATTGCTTAGGTTTGGCTAATGTCAACCAAACACAAAAGATTTATTGGAAATCCTCATTGAGGAACTGAGATTCATTAGTATATGAGATTTTCTAGAAGGGCTCTGGATCTTTCGTGTATTATGCATCATCTCTCAGTAAATCAGTGGTTCTCAACCTTGGCTGCACATTAGAATCACCTGGGAATCTTTTTAAAATCCTGATTTCTGGGCCTCATAAGGCCCAGAAATCAGGATTTTAAAAAGATTCCCAGGTGATTCTAATGTGTAGCCAAGGTTGAGAACCACTGCAGTAAATGATTTAAACCACATCTCCACTTCACACATATCTAGTTTTGCATTTAGCTACCTCTCAAGCAAATTGGTACCAGATGAGGAGTGAGACATACTCCAAGAACCAATTTGAAAACAAATGGATTATTTAATACAGAACCTGGCAAAAAAGGGTGAACTGTATTAGTGTTTTTTTTGTTTGTTTGTTTTTTATCCTAAAGAAAAAGCTGTAAGTGTCTCACCATATTTAAATAAATAGCTAGACTGTGCTTATTGGGGGGGGGGGGTTAAAATCAAGAATTATAAATAAAAAATCTGTATGTTAATTTTGAAATGAAATTATAGTATGCATTCACGATTTTCTTTCTTTAAAAAAATGTGTATAGTATTCCTATTTCTGCCGCTAAAAAATAGCTAGAAATGATTGACAACTCCAAATTGATAAGCATCCCCATTGCCCAGATTATGGTATATAAATACTATTTCCCACTCGGAGGAACCAGGATTACCTGGAAAAAAAGGTTAAATCAAAGTCTGAGATAGAAAATATATAAGCCTGAGAAATTTTGTGTTAGAAAGCAAGGGTATGAGATTCTATAAAATAAAAATGAGTCACCATGAAAAGGTATGGTGTAAGATGGGACAATTTAATGATTTCAGTTTATCAAAACATAAAATATATATAAACACATAAATTTATAATAAAAAGTTTTTTAAAATTTTCACTGTGCACTAATAAATATGGCTAACAACTCATTTTAAAAAAGGGAAAGGAATCAAGCATGTATCTTTTATTTGCTATAAAACTATATTTCAAGGAAACTAAATAATTGATGAGGAGCAGTTCTTAGAGAAAATGCTAGTAAGGTGAAAGAAAAGCTAAAGCTAGAAAACTGTTTTATTCACTCCTGGTTTTATAATACAAACTGGCTGTAATCCTTAATGCATAATGAAGCTATTAGGCAAAAGTTGATGGGGAACTTTATAATCGATGGATCAGCTGACAGCATCTAAGTCCTATCACCACTATTACCATCAGTATTAGAGGGAGAGAGTAATGTCCTCAAGATGATGACATAGGTCCTTTCTGACTTCCCTTGTCCTAACAAGACCCACCAGGAACTCTCCATAGTGCTGATTTTAGAATCTGCGAGTGAGGCCGAGGCACCCCTGTTCACCTCACAGACTGAGGACCATGTTGGAAAATTAAGAGAAGCAGCTCCACTCTGACCATATCACACTTCCCCTGTGAATGCCTCACCAAGGGGAAGCCCTTGAGCTTGTGGGGTTTCCAGTTGGGGGAAAAAACAAAACAAAACAACAACAGGAGCCCAAGGTGAATATCCAGCACCCCAGCATTGGGAGTCTCTCTTCGCAGACATTACTGAGGAAATCTGGGCTTTCTCACTGAAGACCAGGTAAAAACATGAACGGTAGGCAGGGCTTATGGCAGCCAGCACTCAAATCCTGGCAGACTGCCTTCTTCCTTGAGCTGCTCCTGAACAGAGATCACAGCCAGCCTCCCTGCCACCTGCAGAGCCAAGCTGGTGACATGATCTGGAGAAGGAGTTCTATGGGAAGTTCTGCCTGGTACAGAGGACTAGCCAGTGAGCTGTGCTGGCTGTGGATCTTGTTCCATGGCCTCCCTGGTCAGGCAAACACATCTGAATCCCCACCTACTGTTAATTATGACCCCCAGCCCTGCCAGACCCAGACGCCTAACCAGGGGATCTGGGCAGCTGTGCAGCTCATCCTGTATCCATGCTTGCAACAGCATCTGAGCACAAATCTCTACCAGTGGCCCTATGTGTCCATCCAGAGCACCTGTTGGGCAGTTCTGCCTGATTTAGGTCCCCAGCCGACAGACCATCCTGGCTGCAGGGCCTGCTCTGTGTCTCCACACAGACAGGAAAACACACCCGAGGCCCCTCTCAACTGCTCAGTATAGCCACAGAGCCCATCCCACACTTGGCAGGGAACCAAGCCAGCAGTACTTTCCAACTGTGAGGTCTAGGCTGTGGGCCCACATAACCAGGGGGCCTTAACAATGATTCGGAATAGCCTCAGATTACATCCTAGGGTACCACCCAGCCAAGAAGCGCACTTACAACCTGCCCAGCATATGACCTCGGCCAACTA